CTCTCTCTCGCTCTCTCCCTCTCTGTGGGCATGCTCGCGTGTGAGCGTCGGGTGAAGGGGCAATTCGAGCATCATGCCGTGTATGCGACAGTATTCACTCATGAACGACTGTTGGCCAGCGTTGCCGGAGCAATGTTCATCTGCATTGCTTTGACCAGCCCAGAGAAGTTAGGGGTAGTCAGGGCTCATTTTGAAAAGCTCAGGAATGAGGCACGTACAGGAGTCGAGCTGCAGATTTGCTTGCTACCATGGTTTGATTTTCGCAGAAGCGCAAGAGCAAAACAAGCAATCCATAGGCGGTTAGAGCGGCTACGAAGAGTAGAGAACGGTTCAACAGGAGCTGTCTCAAACTGAGGCCATCAACCCTCGAACCCGAAATCCCGAATCCTCAAACCCTAAACCGTTGAACCCTGAAGCCTGAAACCCTAGACTAACCGCGCAAACCCGAAAACCTCCAACCCCCCCAGCACCCGAACCCTGGACGCTGCAACCCTCAAGCCCCAAACCCTGAGCCCTAACACCCTATCAAGCCCTTGCGCCCTCAAACCGTCAAACCCAAAATCCTGAAGCCAACTCTCAAGCCCATTAAGCCTCGAGCCATAAAACCTGAACCCAAAAACCCTACATGCTACACCCCCAAATGCCAAACCCTGAACCCTAAACCCTGAACCCTAAACCCAAAACCTAAACCCTAAACCCTAAACTAGAGTGGGTGGGCGCCCAGGACAATGCCGTGAAACAGGCGGCGGAGTTGGTCCTCCTCCGTCAGCAACTCTCAGAACTGCGACGCACGACTGAACAGTGTTTAGGGTTTTAGGGTTAAGGCAGGTTTTTTGTTCTTTGTTTAGGGGGTTCACACATTTTTTGTTTTGGTTTGGAGGTTTCGGGTTTGATTTTTAATGCTTGAAAGGTTTAATTAGGCGTTTTTGGGCTTTGGGTTTGTGTGCAGTATGGGAATTTAGGTTTCCGTTTCCGATTTGCAACAGCCGTTTCAGGGACCAGAAGGATCCCCCACAACAGAACTGGAACCTAATAAACCTGGTTAACTAGGTTCCTGAGTAGTACTGTTTTGCCCTTCTTGTTTTAGGGTCCCCTTATGATCTCCGAAAAGTTTAGAAGCTGCCCCCACCCTGTAATAGTGACTATAAGGATTATATTAAGGCCCTATTATATTCCGATTATACCACTATTACAGGGTGGAGGCCCCTTCTAACGAATAGTAGGACCAAAGGTACCCGAAATCCTAAACCCTAAACGGCCCTAAACCCTAAACCCCAAAACCTAAACCCTGGTAGGGACAAAGGTACCCTTATTATAAATGGGCGACTCAGCGACCTCGGGGAGAATTCGTGTTTCGGGCTTGGGGACTCAAGGTTCAGGGCTTGGGGGTTTCAGGTTTAGGGTTTAGGGTTTGGGGTTTAGGGTTTAGGGGTTAGGGGTTTAAGGTTCAGGATTTAGGGTTTAGGGGTTGAAGGTTTAGGGTTTAGAGTTTAGGGGTTAGGGTTTAGGGCTTGGGGTTGAAGCCAAATGCAACGACCCAGCACCTCACAAAGCTGAGCGCGCTGAAGCTGAATCTCCAAACCCAAGTCTCTGAACTCTCAATGATACAGCACCTTCCTGTTAACAGGCCTTCCGTGATGCTCGTCTCTTTAGTGAAAGCGCTGGCGCGATTTTGTCGAGAAAAGGTTTGGGGAAAACACCCGACTTCTCAGCAATGCCCCCCCCCCCCCCCCCCTCCCAAAAAAAAAGAGAAAAAACCGAGCACCGCTGGTGCTGAGGTGCAGGCCATTCCTGTGCCTTCGGGGTTTCTTTGTCTGATGATTGTCTGCTACGGTTTTGGGTTTAGGGTTTAGGGTTTTGGGGTTTAGGGTTTGGGGTTTTGGGGTTCAGGGTTTTGGGTTTAGGGTTTTGGGTTTAGGGTTTTGGGGTTTAGGGTGAAGGGGTCATCAACTGACAGAAACAGGGTCGTGTTGCTTTTGGCTGGACTATGTAGCTGTTGATGGTTGAGACGTCGAAGTTAGGCCGACGTTAATTGCAAATCTCTTGAGAGGTGGGTGCTGGACCTGCGGAGAAAGTGCCATTGCATTTTCCAGCGAAAATCCCGACATCTCAGAGCTGTAAGGCCGAAAACTACTGAACCCTGACTCGTCATCCCCTGCCGGAAGCATTGAAAGTCTAAACGGCGGCCGTTGAAATCCTGACCAGTCCCAAGCCTTCTCGAAGCCCCCAAAAAACCCTGAAGACCTACTGTAGAAGCTTAAAGGAATACCAATATCATTCCTTAGGGCTCCTTATGCTAATGATGCCACAAAGGAGCCCAAAACCCTGTTCTCATCATTACGGCCTTTACATTAAGCCCAAAGCCGCAAAACCCAAATCCAGAAAAGCTACGATGCCCAGTAGTACCCTAAACCCCAAATCCAGAAAAGCATTTTTCGACATCTCAGGAGACCGGGTGGAGACTGCCAAATCCAGCCGTGAGAAAGCCGTGGAATACCGTGAGACTAGTTTGTTCTCGGAGGCACACTTTTCAGTTTGTTTTTGTTTCGGGGTTCCCATTGTAATGCCCTAACCCTAAACCCTAAACTTAAACCCTTTACCCAGAACCGTATAAACTTTGTTATGGAACAGCCCAGGAGTTGCAGCAGGGCCGCTTTCGGACCGTGCAGCACGCGGTGGAGAAGCAGGAGGTTCTATTTATGGGTTTTGGTGTTTAGGGGTTTAGCGTTTGGTGTTTAGGATTTAGGTTTAAGTATGAGGCTTCATAAAGGTTGCGTAGGGCTGTATCGGCTTTGGAGGCTTTCACAGGGTTGTGCAGAGAGTTTGAGACTATGGGTACAAGTACCTTGTTTAACCCTTATTCCCTTTTTGTAGTCCTAGGTTCCCTATAAAGTTACCCAATACCAAAAAGAGAGGCCTTTTTATTCTTAGGTTACTGGGTATCCTAGTTATTGTTTAGTATAGAGACCCAACCCTAAACCCTAAACCCTAAACCCTAAGCCGTGACCAAAACCCTAAACCCTAAACCCTAAAAAGTTTCGGGGACTGTTGAAGGCGCCTTAGGGGTCCCAAAATAAGCATAAGCATTTTATAGGGATATCCCGACCTTATTGGGCTTCATTATAAGGACCCAGAGTAGGCCCTTATTCCCTTTTTAAAGGTTTAAGTTCCCTTATAACCGCCTTTAAACCAAAAAGGGCACCCTTTTTATTCATAGGTTACTCTTCAGTCTAGATTGTAAGGGGGTTTATATGGGATATCCCTATCCTAATTTTTGCTTATGCGCCTTTTTGGGGCCCTGGGTTAGGATTCCCGAAACCTCATGCCCTGACACCCGGGCCCCGATCCCGAAGCCCTCAAGCCTCACACTGTGATAACATTACATTGCATCATGTTGTAGTGTATTGTTTGCATTACACTATATTATGCTATACTTGCTATATGTGTTATGTTATATCATAGGTGTTATCATATTACGTGATATATATATATACACTGATATTGATATGGCATGATATTTTATTATATCACACCATATCGTATTACATTACATCGGTTTGCAGCGCAGGCCGATGTCGCGAAGATGAAGGCCGGTGTCAAGAACGCCTACCAGGAGCGTGACAAGATCAGCGAGCAGCTCCAGAAGGTGCGACTGATTGGAACCCTAAGCGGTTTAGGGTTTCGGGTTCCTTAGGTCTAAGCGGTTTAATTAGGGTTTAGAGTTCCTTACAGTAGGTATATTGTCTTTTCTTATTTTTGTTCATATACAACACAAGAGAATATTGCCAATACTGAGCTATTAGGGTTCTGAGTGGGGTATAGTAAAACCCCTAAACCCGAATAAACCCTGGGTCTGAAGGTTGAGGGTTTCGGATATCGGATTTCGGACCTAGAGCTTAAGATGTGAGGTTTGGGGGATTCTGGAGCCTTGTGGCTAAGTCGCCTCGCAAAGAGCCTTCGAGTGGCCTTCTCTGGGACCCAGAGTAGGCCCTTATTCCCTTTTATTAGGGTTTAGGTTCCCTTATAAACCCCCTTCACCCTTTTTGTTCCTAGGTTACTCTTAGGTCTGGTTCTTCAATCCCAAGCCCAAATCCAGATCCCGAGCACTGCAAGCCCTGAGCCATCCAAACTCACCTTGAGCCCCTGAAGCGCTACTTTGAAACACTAAATCCATAAGCCCCAAGCCCTACATCCCTTATGTAGGTGCCTTAATAATTAGAGAGGCTTTGAAGGGGGTTCCTTGTTAAGATTATAGTATACTTGTATACGCCAAAGCACAATTCTAATTGTTAAGCCTCTGAACCCTTAAACCTGAAGCCTGAAACCATCTTAGCTTAAGCCCAAAGCCCAAAGCTCTAAACCGAAATCCACCAACCAGGTGCCGGGGCTTTTGGGTAGTCAGGATGAGGAGAAAAACCTATATATATATATATATACATACATACATACATACATACACACACATTTTTTTTGGGGGGAACAACACTAACAATCACAATCACAACAACAGTGACACTTACCAAGAATAACAACAGTAGCAGTAACAGTGACAACAAAAACATAGTTACCAACATTACTAAAACTAACAATAATAATAACAACCACAACAATAGCGAATAACAATATCTATAACGAGAGCCACATTAAAATAGCACTAACACTATGACATTAGCAGTATGATAGAAATAAAACGACTAGTAGCCAGCATAAACAGTAATGCTGATACTCACAATACTAACAATGCTAATAATTATCATACTCATAATACTCACATAACTCATCTTAACAACAATATGAATATCAGTGCTCGTATTCAATAAAGCAATGATATCAAGCAGAAGAGCTGGAGGGGGAAGAAGGGCGCAGGTTCTTTGCCTGAACCGCAGGCTTTAAACCTTGAGCGGAAACTCTGAACAATGTTAAAACCAGCCCCCAAGGACGTGTATTCTCCAAATCCAAAGCTGGTGCGGTTCATAGAATCCCTAAGCCACCCTACGCCATACTATGACGCAGTGAAGCCCCATACCAGCCTTCAGAATCAAAGTAAACACCGAGCGCTTCAGCAGCAAAGCCATGAATCAACTCTCCCCACCCCTGCGGGGAAGATCTACAGGTTAGCCTCCGCGACGCGGTGGTCGAATACTGGCAGGACGGAAGTTTTGCCTGCGAATTGGGTTTAGGGGTTATATAAGGGCATCAGCACTTAGTAATCTTGTTGCTTAAGGGTTCCTGATAACGCCTCTATACAACTATACTACTGTGCCACCCCAAGCTTCATTCATTTTTTCTAAACAGGGGCCCTGTGCTAAGTGGAGGCCCTTGCCGTGACCCCTGAGGCAGCACTTAAAGGAATCCGAACACGAAGCCAAGCCCTATTCTAGATGGGTTTGCAAAGTCTATGCTTAGTTGGGTTTTTCAGTTTTTTCCATGTTTGGCTTATCCTTGTTGTGTCATAGTGAAACTGCGGAGGTTTTGCGGGAGTCGCCGGGAAAGGCCGGGATCCGAGAAGGCGTTCCCTTGGTGCTTATTTGGAGACCCCCTAAAGGCAACAGGTTTTGTATGAAGGAATCACAAGCACAGTCGTGCAAATATCCCGTCGGCCATCCATGCCCACGAGTGTCGTAGAACAGGCACCAACACCAAAACCCTAAACCCTAAACCCTAAACCAAAATACTCTTTTGTAAATCACCCTCACCCGCAAATCCTACAGTAGACCCTAAACCTAAAGCCCTTGAGCCCCCAACGCGAACACACCCCGCAGCCCTGAATGCGCTATGCCACTATGCCGAACCTCTAAACCACTCTGGTAAATTTCTGCAGGTTTTGTTAAATTTAGTCGCACCGGCCCGTTAAAGCCGAAATCTACCCCCTAAACCCTAAACCTCGGCTCTCGACGCCACATTCGAAAAGATTCCAGGCGGCTCAGGGGCTTAGGGTTTAGGGTTTAGGGGGGGTGAAAAGGGGGGTTTAGGGTTTACCTGCCTGTAGCCGTTCCTTAAAGAGGTAGGTCTTTTCGGCTACAGGTAGGTAGGGTTTCTCAAGTCAGGAGGTTATTGGGGTCAAAGCCTTTCGGGTTCAGGATTTATAATAGGGCATGGGGTGCTCCGGGGTCGGTGTGGAATGCCTAGGGCCGGTTGGGCCTAGTATTGGTCCCAAATAAAGTAAATACCCTAAACCGCACCCCCTCCGCCCTGAAGCCGATTTGCCATTTTGGACCAAAAGGGACACCCCAGCGAGCAGAGTTCCAGGACCAGGAAACCTCCAAGGCCGGTTTTGGGGGGACTTGCACAAAGCCCCCCTTGGCCCCCCCTGGCACCTGCCCTGCCCTGCCCTGCCCGCCCCACCCTCACGCCCTGCCCTGCCTGCCCCTCTTCGACAAGACTGGTGTTGGTTTTGCCTTCAAATTCCGTTCATAAAATGTGCATTTTAATGGGGCCAGGTGCCAAAATCGAGGTCCCCTCCTTTTCCGTGTGCCTGCTTTAAACCCTGCGGTTGCAGAAATAAAGAAAACCATGGATTGAGTTTAGGGGCTAAGCCCTAAAAGGAATAGGTTTGGGTGGTTTGGCCGCCTTAGACGGCGTGGGGTGGGAGAGTTAAAAGAAAGAGCCATCGACAATCAGGCTTCAACAGGCAATCGTCAGAAGACGACTCACTCGAAATTACACTGTCGCGAGATACTTCCGCGTATGCACCACTCTACGGCAAACCCTAAACCCTAAACCCAAACCCCAAACCCCAAACCCTAAACCCTAGACCCTAAGCCCTAGACCCTAAACCCTAAACCTTAAACCCTAAACCCAAACCCTAAACCCTAAACCCTAGACCCTAAACCTTAAACCCTAAACCCTAAACCTTTGTTCCATGCCTTTTGCCAGCGGCCCGCTGAGGCGCTGGAGACTTTGACGACGTACGTCAGCTGCCTGCCTGCCTTGTTGCGCAATTCAGGGCTGTAGGGTTTAGGGTTTGGGTTTGGGTGTAGGGTTTAGGGTTTAGGGTCTAGGGTTTAGGGTTTAGGGTCTAGAGTTTAGGGTTTGGGTCTAGGGTTTAAGGTTTAGGGTTGGCCTCAATAAGGTGGGATGAATCTAGGTGGGATATTCCCAAATAAGAATCCGTATATAAGGGATCCTTGATCCTGCCTACCTTCATCCCACCTATTGAGGCCTCCGAGTTGCGCAAGTCAGGGCTGCTCCAAAGGTCCGGCTTCCGTTAGAGGTTTAGGGTTTAGGGTTCCTTTGAGGGGTCCGGGTCCTTTAAGGGGACGTCGCGGGAGACGGAATTGGGTGTTAGGCGTAGGCTTAGGGTTACTTGGAGGTTCATGGGTAGTTTTTAAGTAGGGTTAGAAGTGGGTAACTATACTGACTATACTTATAACCCACATTAGGGGCCTTATAATCCCACGTATAAGTACCTGAAGCCCTAAAGCCCTAAAGCATGGAACTTTCCTAAACCCTAAACCCCTACAGAACCTTCAAAGGGACCCTTAAAGGAACCCTTATAAC